CTTGCTTGCGTTACAGGATTTTGATTATATTTATAGACTAGATTTGACTCGAGATGGTTGTAGTTCATAGGTGTAAATACCAAATACGTTTTAATCGGACTCTTTTTGCAGGTCCATTGTATTTCATATTGTAATTAGTACAGACTCGGTTAATAAAGAGTCAGTAAAAAATACTAATAGCACCGAAAGGCTTACAGAAATAAAGTTAAGCTGTTAAAGTTCAATGTGCTGTTCAGTGATTAAGTCTAACCTTGGGAATGTGATATCGTAATTGTTTATTACTATTAGATATTGTATTCAATTTAAACATATAATCATTGATCAGTATCATTATCAGAATGTTTTATACAAAGCTTTGGAAATGATTTACATGAAATATATTACTGTATCACTATATAGTATCACGATAATGTATAATTAAAGTACCACTAACAGTTTTTAGTTTCCCTTCAGCAGTGATTTTTGTTTTAACTTTTAATGTTTTAGTAATATTTCCTATTTGTATTTTTATCCCTTCAGGGTAAATATTACAACTATGGGTTATATTTCCTAGGCAATATAATAAAAGATTGGCCTTAGTGCATATTGGAATTGGTTGACTCCCACGTTATGTAACTTCAAATGTAAGTAATAAAGTATAATTTATAACAAAGGCCTGCGTATTATTGTTACGAACCTGATATCACACATGTTTATTTCTTCTCATCTCATGCCGAACAGGAATGAGAAGCAAATGTATGACACTGTTTTACTGTATACAATGCTAAAATCTGGGGTTCAATTTGCTCCAGAGGAGAGAGTGCACCCACTCCAGCTCAGAAGGGGGCACCAGAGTAGTTTCCATGATTTCTGTTCATGCCAGATTAATACATATACATATGTTATCCCACAGCATAGGGCCTTCAGCTGAATTAAGAGGCCACATGAGATAAGTTTTCTTTGCCCCCCCTCTCCCGTATAAAACAAACCTTTTTTGTGAAATGATGTTCTCATTTTAAAGTTATCAGATCACTGTGATGTAGAGATTTGTTATCATCTAAAGGCAAACAAGTGCTGACTAAGTTATCTTTAAAATTATGTATTATAAAAATATTGTTAACTGAATGTGCACAGGCTCGGTCCATTGGACTGACCCTATACTGGAGATGGAAAGTTAGCTATAATTCTGAATTTACTATATGTATCTGAATGAAACGTATTAAACTTTTAATAAAATGTATACGCCTGTTATGCACCAAAAATCCCACCAGTTGCAAATGTATTTGTACTCAAGATATGTATATGAATTTTCAACATTAGTCAGACTCGCACAGATAACAAGATGATATTCATGTGAAGAATAAAAATATTTTTGTCCATTGTACTGTTTGCATATTGCATTTGTTTAACCTCTGTAACCTCCAATTAGCTGTTGTAAATATTTCCCGAGTTTAAGGTCAGCTACGCCCACTTGTAAAGTCGAAGTTGTGTTGCTATGTGACAGGTTGAAGTTGATTGGCATGCTTATAACCAACAGAAAAAGTAGACTTCCGTCTTGAATCTCGGTAATGTGATGGTAAGTGTAGGTACGAGACTTCTTTTTGAAATGGTATGAAATGAAGTTAAGTCCATTGTTCGGTATGTCTGCGGACTTGCATCGTTAAAAACCGGGTTTTGATACCCGTAGTGGGCAGAGCAAGTATTAAAAAGTATTATTTATAATGTACACTACATGTTGCATACCCTCAGCAAATGTTAAAAACTATTATT